TCCGGAGAGGAGAATGGAGGAGAAGGGATTGCAGCGTGGCCATCCCCCCTGGGGGGTGATTTCTCGCTTTCTGTCTCCCTGTCTCTCTCTGTCTGGCGAGCGCACGCGCCCTATAGTGAAAAACCTCTCCAAAAAAAAAAAAAAAAAAGAAAGAAAAGAAGATAGGAAGAGACTTAGAAAAATAAAAGTGTTGACTTGGAGGGCCAGATAGGCTAGGAAGAAAAAGGGAGGAGAAAGACTGTGAAGCATCTAGGAGATTTAATGAGCTTCCCTATCAAGGCCTCAGTGTAACACAAATCAACTCAGTGCCAAGGAGACAGAGACCCCGAATTGATCCTTTCCAGTCCCAAGCCACTTGGGAGACTTTTTTTTTAACCCTTTCATGATCATTCCACGTGTTGTTTTTTTGTCTGATGACCATGAGTCCAGTTCTTAACCTGGAATGCCATTCCTGAGTAGGCTTCGGGAAATCTGACCCACCTGAAATGGGTAGTGTCTGAACATCTCGCTAAGGAGATGACTCTTTCTTGAGAGTGTTGGTTTATAATTTTTTTTTAAAAAAAAGCTATGGACCCGTTTGAGAATCAGCATTGTTCTAGAAAGAGCTATCTAATTGACATTGAGAATCCAGAGAGGTTAGACTAAGACCTTGAATTTTGAATTGCCTTATTCTGGTCAACCTGCAGATAGATCCCCGAGTAGGAGTCAGCAGCCAGTTATCTTGTGAAATGTACCTTGAGCTTAGTTGGGTGTTTGTAGATGTGGTAATTCTTTCAGCATTTCAGTTTTTTCAGGAAGAAAGAGTATGGGTTGGACAGTGAGCTAGGATAGACAGTGGCCTGGAGGGAGTATTATTACTAGGTTTGCTTATTGCTAGGCTTGTAAGATTCGTTGTTTCTGCTTTATCCAGTCTCCGCTGTTAGTGAAGTGCACCTACCAAATTGCATTGGCAGAGGAAGAAAAACCTTGAAGTTTCATCGAAGAAGCTTAGTAATGCTCTACTGTCACATTTCTTGGCTTCATCCATCCTATGTTCACTTAGCACCTAATTCTGGGGCTAATGTGAATATTAACACTCTCCTGTTTCTGATACGTTGACATACCTCACTGTCATCAGCAACGTCTTAACCCCTATGTAACATTGCCAATTACATTATTTAAATCTCTAAGGCAAACACTGCCTCCTGTTCTCATTTCTAGTTGCAAGGTATGGTAGAGTTGAAAGAGCACCAATTTTAACACCTAGGATAATATCCCTGTCCCGGTTACACCAGTTACTAGCTATGACCTGGGCAAGTTTCTACTCCTGTCAGAGAAAATCATACCTTCCCTGTTACTTCAAAAGGTTATTATGAGGATCATATGACTTAATTGATGTGAGGGTGCTTTGTCAACTATGAAAGTATTGTAAATAGGTTTTACGACCCTGTTCAAATACCCCTGAAGTATTAAAATTATGGAATGTTACAGCTGGAAGCCACGTTAAAAGATCAACAAGCCTAATTTCTTTATTTTAAATATGAAGAAACTGAGACCTAATATAACAACATTATCAATAAATAACTTTGTTGAAGAAAGCTCATAATAAACTAGTCACTGGAATTCATTAGCATTTGTTTTATTTTCTACCTTGATTGGAAATTCTTTTTGCATCATGCAAGCTATATATTAATCCTATATTTAATCATTAATCCACATTAAGGTAACATTCCAAAGAGAATGTACTAAGAGAGTTGTCCTAAAGCCTAGAAGGAATTACCAACCACGGCTGTTGGTCTGATTTATCCCAGAACAATTCCTCCAGACGGCATCGCAGAGTACAGATTAGTGCTACCATCTCTTTGACAAATGATAGCCCAGAGACTGTCAGTTTAGGCAAAATATCCCCAAAGTTACTTTTTAACAAAAAGGTAAGATGTGAGAGCAGTAGATGGCGTAGTGGTTTCATTGCTGGACTCCCACATAATGGACTATGGTTCAAGTCGCAGTCCCGGCAGCCTAAAACACAGCGGTTACTTGTGTGTGGGTGCCCAAAACCCCAAGAGGAGAATGGAGAAGGGATTCTGATGTGACCATCCCCTGCTGGGGAGTGAGTTCTCATTTTCTGTCTCTGCAGCACACACACGCCCCATAGCAAAAATCTTAAAAAAAAAAAAAAAAAAAAAAAAAAAAAAGATGAATGCATGTCCAGGCTGAATCCCACAAAATAAAGTGGTTCTATAGGCTTTCCATAGATTAGCAAACCCTCAATTTTTTTATTTATTCTTTAAAGAATTATTTTATTTAATTGTATTTATTTTAATTTGACAGAGAGAGCAAGAAAAAGTGAGAAATCAAGCCACCAGGTCCGGGACTCAAACTGGTCAGCCATGTGGGAGTCCAGTGCCCTTAACCACCACACTACCTGCCAGCCCCTCAACTTTTTTATTCCTTATTTTCTGCAGCCATCTGGATTTCTTAATGCATAATACTCTTGTTTTAAGTGAAATCCATTGGCAAAATTTCCCCTCCCATAGTTTCCCACCTAAGTCAAACACAAAAAGGAGAGAATTAGTCAGGAGAAACCCAGCCTACTCCTTCCAAACTAAGCAGCAAAACCTTGGAATGTATCTTCATCTTCCCTCTCGCCTTTTGGCTGCTCAGTTTCTGGTGGCCTCACCACTGTTGCTATAGAGACAGTGATATCACCACTTGTGATTCTGATGTCACTCTCCAGTCCCAACAAGGAGGAGGTGAATGGAAGGCTGGGGAAGGAAACAAGATCTTGAGCTGAGCAAGAACATCCCAGCATCTTCGTTGTCTTTACAAGTATATTCTCGAGTCTTCTGTGGTTCACTGTTTCAGTGCTACAGAGGTAGGAAACCCCTGAGAACAGACCATTTTCTGATCCTCTGGTTAGAAAGGAGAACTTGATGACAAGAGATGGCTAGCTTTTTGCGTCCAGCCCAGCTTCATCCTTCCTCTCAGCCAATTTTAATTCACTTCTGAGACCTTTGGAAATAACTGAGCTTTCCTTAGCAGCATTACAACCAAACTACCTTTGCTGCTGAAGTTTGGATTGTGTTACGATTTAACCAGGTTTCCTTGGCATCCCGTTAGGGACATGAGAAAGATTATTCCCTGCATCATACTGGGTCATTGGAAAAGTCATGACACGTTTTTGCATAGAAATACGTGATGACTTTTCTGCCAACCCCATAGTTTGAAGTGAAAGTGGAAGATTGAAACCTACTCTATGTTCCTCTTCACTGTTTGGCTGACCATCCCAGAAGAGCGTTTCTTTCCAGAATTCTCAGAGCAAAATCATGTTGGTATAACTCTTGTATCCAACTCCTCCATTTTTATACTGTATTATTTCTGAAGGCTTGGCTAGACAATAGAGAGCTGGGAAAGGGAAGGATGCCTATAGCTGTGTAAAGAAAGTATCTGCACTAACAGGGATCTAGAAGAAGAAGCGATTACTAAGTGAACGTAAAGGAGAGCCACAGAAGAGTTTAACAATAGACGGTGCCATTGAAAGACACACACGCTAATAATCGTTATTTACACAAAGTCAGGTGAAACTCTGATTTCAGCAGCAACCAAATTTATTGTTTCTGCAATGTACCAGGCACTTAAAGAAAGAGGGGGAGCAAAAGAGAATGGATGTAATAAACACGTTTTATTCCCTCTTAGAATAAACCTTGACATTTGAGCAGCTGTATAACAATCCTGTAAGTCTCCTTTATGCCACCTGTACATTGACTTCATGAATTTAAGAATCTTGAGTAAACAAGATCTACTCTTAAGACAGGTGCCAAGAAAAATGTTTTAATATGGAAATGTAAACACAGCCACAACAGCCACCCTCTGTGTGGCTTATGCCCTCCCTGATTGGCATGTGTGGTGTGTGGTTTGAACTCCTCAACTTGAGGTTGGCATGTTAGTCCAATCCCTCCTTTGGCCTCAGGATCCCTCTATTAGCCATAAGAAAATCGTACAGCTTCCACGATGTTCCACTACAGAGCTGGAAGACCTAAAGGAATAGAGCCACTGACCCTAGCCCTTCCTTTCTGAGCCTCAGTTTCCAAATCTGTAAGGGAAAGGTGTTGGAATAAATAATCCATTTATCTTTGCATGTTGTATGTAGTCAGTTTTCTTTCCTTATCAAATTTGATAGATAGCACAAAGCATCATTTTCTCTTTTCTTTTTCACTCTTACTTCAGGATATTATTCAACAACTTTTGAACTTACAGAAATTTATCGATCCATTTATTGACCCCATTCCACTCTTAGGTCTTCCTTCTTTTCCACTTCATCATAAAAATAATATACATTGATTTAAAAGTTTGGGTATCATTATCATTGAAGTAGGTAAGTACCTTTTTGTATGCGTTATCAGCATACAAAACCCCATTTATGGGGTTTTAATAGGCTGAAAGACACTTCATGGATGCAGATAAGCCCAGAGGGGACATAGAAGACAGCATAAGACTTAAGAGCGTATGTAACTGCAGTGTTTGCTGAATACAGTTGACTCGTAAGTGTACTTTCTGTTCGTTAGAATAGAGGAGCACTTACGAGATGTTGATTTATTTGTATTATTGGAAGTGTACTTTGTTCGTTAGAATAGAGGAGAACTTACGAGATGTTGATTTATTTGTATTATTGGAGTTTTGAAAAAGGTCTGTAAGTAAATTACTAGATAAACCTCAGGGTTTTACTTACCCTCAAAAGCTTAAGAAGATCTGACTGAGCACCATAGAAAATTTGAGCCAGCCGTTTCTTTTTTGTTCTCAGACTCTCCAGTTTAAGAAAGAGAGAAAGAAAGAGAGAGAGAGAGAGAAAGAAAGAAAGAAAGAAAGAAAGAAAGAAAGAAAGAAAGAGAAAGGAGAGAGAGAGAAAGATTAATAAAGAAAAAGAATGAGCTATCAGAAGTCAGAACTGGGAAGAATTTGTGAAGTCATTATGTCAGCAGATAATTACTAAGCATTAATACTTTTCAAATACTAGCTACTGTGAGGGATACCAAGATGAGTAAGAAAATGCTTCTGCGCTCATGAAGCTATCTATTGTAGTATAAGACATGAAATACATGCAAGCAGTTAAATGCTAGACAGGGTATAAATGTTGAAATGAAATGTGATAGAAACTGATGGGGGGCAATCATGTTCAGTTAGACATTGAGAAAATATGTCATGGGTGGGATAACTTTTCACCTGGGCTGTGAGTTAAGGGTGGGATTTAGAGAGACATTATTGGGGAGCTGTGTATATATTCCAAAATGAGAATATAATTCCCTCCTGTCTTCTATTGAATGTCTTAGAGATACTGTAAGGCAATTAATTGATTTGAGAAATATTAACTATGAACTTCTTTTATAGAATAAGAATGTAGGGGCCAGCAGGTGTTGGACTCCCACATGGCCAACTGTGGTTTGAGTCCCAGACCTTTCAGCTTGCTTTCTCGCTTTCCCTCCCTCTCTCCCTCACTCTGTCCCTCACTGGTCAAATTAAAATAAATAAATAAAGTCGACTAACAGAATTCTAAAAAAAAAGAATAAGAATGTATAATTCTCTCAAACCCTCAAAGGAAAGCTTACAGCGTGTTTGAGTTTCATGAATTCAGAGCAGTTGTTTCCATCCAAGCTATTTATGTCCTCACTTCCTAGTCAAGCAAGTTTGAGATTATGCTAAACTTTTCATCGTCAAGTCAGTCCATTAGCACAGTGGTTAGGCACTGTATATTGGAAGCAGGACCTCACATGGCTGACTGTGTTTGAGTTGTGCCCCACATGAAGGCACGTGTATTCCCCAACCCTGAGAGGATGGGACAGAGGAAAAAGGACTGAGGCATGACCATGCCCCATTGGCGGTTCTCTCTCTCTCCCATATGTGTGTTTGAATTCGTATTCTCTTTCAGCAATTAAAAAAAAAAAAAAGGCTGGGACAAAAACTTTTTGATATCTTCATTATCATTTTTGTTTTTTAAGAGATTTTTGCTATAGGGTGTATGTACTCTCCAGAGAGCGAGAAAAAGAGAAATCCCCCCCGAAGGGGGATGGCCACACCGTAGTCTCTTCTCCTCCTGTCTCCCCGTAGGATTTTGGGCATGGACACGCACACGGTGTGAGTTTCAAGCCTCTGCGTCCGGGATTCAGGCTGCAGTTGGCCATGTGGGAGTCCAGCGACATAACCATTATGCCATCTGCTGGTCCCGAGTATCCTCAGTGTTAAACAAGCCCATCTACCGATGATTTGAAAGTGGAGAATAGTAATAGTCATTTAAGGAATTATTGCCCTGAATGTGGTACCGTTTGTCATCTGTGGACCATCAGAATACCCAAAGAATAAAACACAACTCCCTCTGTGAATCGTTATCACTTGTGTGTTGTGCAGGTGAAAAATGAGCTCAGGTCGTTGTTTCATAGTAAGAGCAGTTGGGTTCATACGTGAAATTGGTCATTTATATTTGTGTCTTTCCATTGCAGATTCCTCCTATTACATGGCAGGAGGGGTGGGTAAACTTAGGGATAGTGCCGACAACAGATTAGTCAAGAGTTTTCTTCACATCTCAGAACCTGTCCTCAATAAAAGTAAGTGATCCCTTCATTTCCTTCCTCTTTGTACTTAATTTTCATCCTCTTTAATTGTGGTATATTTAATAGCTAAATAAAGCACTAAATCTTACTGATTTTTTAATTTTTTTTAATTTTTATTTGACCAGAGAGGGACACAGTGAGAGAGAGAGAGAGAGAGAGAGAAAGTTGCCAGGTGTGGGACTCGAACCATGGTCGGCCATGTGAGAGTTCAGCATCCTTAATGACCACACTACATGCCAGTCCCAGATCTTACTGATTTTGTTGCTCTTTGTTAGAAACAACTCATTTGAATGAAATATGAACTGAGAAAAAGAACATTTCTTTCTGGCTCTTTCACTGTCCAGGACAACTTGCTTCTAAGTCTTCTCGTTCTTTGTTACATTAATAGTACCATCCATTCTTTTTTCCTGGTAATGAATGCTAGCAGAATTACATGCATATGGAATAGTGAGGTGCTGAGGGCAATACGGAGCTAAACTTCATAGCCATTAGCAACTTCCTTGTTAAGGTAGCAAAAGATTAAAATAAGATACCAAAGAAGGTTAGAAAATGTCTCAGAGAAATATTTTTAAAGAAAGCATAAGTAATTATCTTTCTGGAGAAGGCCAGCCTTTCTCAGAGTGGGTCTCTCCAGATAAGCCCAGATCCAGGAATTCTCAATTCTAGATGTATGTATATTAGAATCACCAGGGAGTTTTTAAGAAACTCAGTGCTTAGGGCTGGTAGCGTGGTGGTTGGCGTGCTATATCCCACTTGGCCAGCTTTACAGTTCAAGTCCTGGACCCAGCAGCTTGAAGGACGTGCTGGGTGCATGTTCACACATGCCCCAAAATCCTGAGAGGAGAATGAAGCCGGGAAGGTATTGTGGTGTGGCCATCTCCCCGTGGAGGGTGCTTTCTCACTTCCTCACGCTGTTTTTCTCTCTGGTGAGCATACCTGTTCTATAGCAAAACTGGAAAAAAAAAAAAAAAAAGAAGAAACTTAATGCTTAAATTTTTCCAACAGAAAACTATTGAAATAAGATTTTCTGGGAGTGGTGAGTCAAATTCAGTATCTTTAATCAGCTCTCTGGGTGATTCTAAGGTCTAATCTGGGTGGAGAACTCACTGTTTACTCAGAGAATCTTATGTACTATGGTATCTGAAAGAGGAAAAGAAACTGTTTCCTTACACGGTAATCTGAGTAGCGTGTGAAAATGAGTAAAAATCTTTGTGGAAACAAAGAACCAGCCGCTCTTGAAAGGCCTTAAAGTTTTTTTTAATAGTTACCTAGGGGACAGGAAGTGCCACAACAGTGCTATAACTGGGCCCAAATGGGAAGGGTCTCAGGTTTGCATCCCAGGACCTCCCTGAGCACACTGAGGCCATGCAAATGTGCCCACAATCCAGCCAGGGTGAGGGTGGAGAGTAGATAATGGCATGGGGACCCTAGTAAGGGTGCCCGTCCTCTCTCTTCTCCTCTCTCTCTCTCTCTGTATCTCTGCCTCTCTCATGGAAAAAATAAATACACTTTAAAAAGTCATGAAAAGGGGCCAGGAGGTGGTATAGTGGTTAAGGTGCTGGACTCCAACATGGCCAACTATGATTCGAATCCCAAACCCAGTGGCTTGAAACTCTCACCGGACACGTGTGCTTGCATGCCCAAAATCCTGAGGAAGATGGAGGAGAAGGGGTTGCGGCAAGGTCACACCTCCCTGGAGGGTGATTTCTCACTTTCTCACTCTCTTCAGTGAGGTCATGTACCCTATGGCAGAAAATAAAAAATTCTATAATAATCTGTGTAACAAACACAACATCAGCTTATATGTGTTTAAACTGTGTGTTTAATCTGTCTTTGATTTGTGTTGACTTTGAGGGAGGGAGGAGGTCTATCTCCATTATAGTTCAAAGTCTCTTTAAATATTTCCAATTAACTGGGAATATTTCATCCTCTAATGAAGTTCTACTTATTTCAGGCAATTCCTTATAACATGCAATTTAGGATACACTGTTGGGCTATTTTATAACAGAATTTTAAACCACTGGTTAGTTGGAATCAAAATATTAAAATACATGTCTGTTTCACAAAGATATTTGGGACATTAGGGAGGAAAACTTGGCCATCTTTTTCCCCCATGCTTTCTTTTTTTTTTTTTTTTTTTTTAGAGTTTTTCACTGAAGG